ACATAAAATCAATAATATCATCTTCAATTAATTCACTCACGTCTCGAAAGGGATTCCAATTTGGTCAAAATATGAAAAAGGAAAATTACTGGTTACATCGCCCATTACTAGTTTTGTTTAAGTTCCAGGCTTTTGAGGTGATGCACATGCGCGAATCACGTGATGTGAATCGTTTCGATTATTTTAACCTTTTTGGAACAAACTTAATTTCTCAAATATATATTTTTGATTCTAGACAAAATTTACAGCGCCAGTCACGACAACGACAAGAAGAATGCCGGTATGTGCTTACCCGCAGTTTACATTGGATTTGAGCATTGCTATTTTGAATTATTGCACATGAAAAGATGAAACTTGGTTTCATTTTTAAATTTCAGTGGTTTGCTATCCTGCTGAAATCTTGCGCTATTTATATGAGTACCAACTTGTTTAAAAAGTAAATAGAATAACTTAAGTAATAATCATGAACAAATGCATCACTAGTGATGATTTGAATTGTGAAAATTATTAGCAACATTTTACATCAATTTTCGCATGCTTATTTTAATTTTAAATACTGCAAATATTATATTGGATATATTCAAATTTGAAATATATATACGCGTGAAAAATTAGTAAATTGAAACAGATAGGCATTATAATCCCCTGAATTTTTTTTCTAGAGCTAGAATTTTGTCTGAAATCATTTTTTCTTCAGCATGTACATACATTGTACGGAATGAGATTACTCATATGTTATAAACGGTTTAAGATTTCCTTTTTAATGAAAATTCTCTCTTTTCCTCTTCAGAATTTTGTACATAGATAGATAATTGTAGTGCAATTATATGTGAAATAATTTTATTTTTCTGCGTAATGTAGCATAAAGAATCTAAAGAAACACGCTACGCCGGAAAATTAAGAATACAGGTATAAGCCCCTTTAACATTGAGTAAATGGGTATCTCGGTAATTTGACGAGATTTCGACAAACTGACAACGGTTCTGGTGACTAATTTTTGCTACCAAATTTTGCGAGAAATCGCCAAAAGTCACCAGGCTTGGAGACCATTTTGTGACATTTTGGTCCGGTCCCTGACGTAATCAATATTGTTGATTGAATAAATGTAATTAATCAACTATATTAGCTGCAACCGTAATTCGACCCTCATATTGCCTTCCATTAATTTCGAGAAGCAGAAAGTAGTAGAAACATCTCGGCGGCCGGGGAAAAACTATAGAAGGCCGGAGAGAGCATCTGCTCTGAGTTGTTTTTGTTAGCTGTTGGGAGTATTGAGGTATCTGCGGGTAGCTTTTTCTTTAGCTGCTCTTTGCGTTGCCCTTCGTTTAACTTTCATAGTAGTTTAAGTGTAACTACTGACTGCACTCTGTGATATTGTGAAGAGTTTTAACACTATTTTTGAGGACAGTTCCAGATCTCTGAAGAGTTTCTTTTGATAAAATAAATTTTATCAACCTATCATCGGAGCTGTGTGCATTCAATCTAACCCGTACGCACGCAACAGAATTTAATAAATTTGCAATACACATTATCTTTTCCATGTTTTGCTAATTTTAAAGATGCTACATGGAAATTATCCTTTTAAGAAAAGTGATGGTGTCATTGAATGTTCAGATTTGAAACAACAAAAATAAAGATAAACTTATGCTAAAAATGTAAGCAAGAAACGGTAAAAGAAAAGGTACGAATGTAAAAAGTGGAATTAAAAGCATACAATTTACATATGAGGTACAGGTTGCATTGCCGAATGCAAATAGGCAACCAAAATTAGCATAAAATGCACTCCGGCAGACACACCGTAACGCCTTAAAAAGGTGTATGTCGGACCTATGCCATAGTTCGCAAACAGCGATAGTTCCGTGTAACCCGAGATAACCAAAGCGAAAAGCATGAGCCGAAAACACCATTTGCACGATGGACCTTTGGACGACTCTTCAGACGTTGTAAGCTAATGCAAGACAATCCGCTGTTGTAAGACAGCTGATTGTGCATGGTAGTGTTATCTGAATATGCATGGCAGTGTGCATGGCAGTGAAATCGTTACCAAAGTGATCAAAACTCCTGTCGAAGACGTGAGTCTGGACGCCGGAGGATTACCACAACGGCAGATGATCGCTTCCTGTTGCTATGTACAAGACACCGTTAGATCACTAACAGTACGACAGCTAGCGACACGTCTTTTCGTTGCTGTAGGACGGCCCATATCCCGCCAAAGTGTGTAGCGTTGACTGCATGAAAGTGGATTGCAGGCCCGACTACCTATGTTTGTGATCCTTTGTCCACATCGAATGTCATAGCGCAGTTGATATGAATCAGTGGACATCGCAGTTGGATATCAGAGTAGTGGAGCCACGTATTCTTTAAGGATGAGTCTCGATTTAACGTCGTGAACGATTCTCGAAGGGCAATGATGTGGCAAGAGCCAGGGCCTCACTATCGCGCGCCGAACATAGTCGAAACAGAATATGTTGTTCTGCATTTTGAAATTTTTTGTAACTCCGTGATATTTTTTTTTATATCTACTGTAATCTGAAGAATTCAAATATGAGATTGGTTTTTATCAATAACAATTGGTTTTTATCAATAATCAATTATAATTAGAGAAAAGAAAAAGAATATAAAATATGAGAAACCCATACTATAAGCAATCTAGTGAATTTTCAAAGATTTAAAAAACAATCAATTTTTTTCACAAAATATACTTTATTTTGTATTGAAAAAAGTATAATACTATGATTTTTTTTTTTTTTTTTTTTTTTTTTTGCGCTTCTATTCGCCAGGATCAATTTGACGTTTGAGGTTCCAACAGTAGTCCGCTAACATGTTTGGGGTTCAGTTTGCACTATACTGCTTCTCCATTTGAACAATTTGCTAGTGAAATCTTTCGCCATCCTCGTCCGAAATTGCACCTAAATTGTCAGCGATGAATTCCAAATAGGAGTGAAGAAAATGTAGCTTAGGTGATATGTTGCAACCTCACGTCTTGTAAGATTTTATCACGTCTTCATATGTATTTCAACTATATGGGAAGATTCAAATCACGAATAAGATAGCTGAGCTATTCCTGAGATATAAATGGGGCTGTTTTACTGCTAATACACTCGTAACCGTCTTTCTCTTGAGAACTTGAGCCGGCCTTTTGGTTAAAAATAATCTAATTATCAGATTCCGAGTCAATTTTATATTTCTCTGGAGGCTTAGAGACAAGTATGCCACATACAGGTACCATCAGCAATAGGAAAGCCGACTTGATAAATAAAGACTACTAATGCCTATATGACAGCATGTAAACTGTGTCACAGGGCCATTTTCTATTTCATAAAGCACCTTACAAGATGCAAGGTATTAGGTTTGATTACGGCAAAGCCTGCGACGGCTATTTGCTTAAGAGTACGAATGGACATTCTAAGTGAAATTGGTTTATAAACGATGTCCCAATAAAAACCCCGGTTTTAAGATGCCCCAAAATATTAATTATTTCTAAAACATGGACGAATCCGCTTTAAGATCTTTTGTTGTTACCCTTTAAGTTTCGATTCTTTGGGATTTGCAATAATACTGTCACTCCCATTAGCGATGTTTCCAACAGACCAGGGCCCACCAGCGGCCGAGCGGTAAAGTCGCTGAACACTGGTAGTTCGGTCCGAGGTTCGAATCCCGCGAACGGGCTGGCTGCATGGGCGTTTTCGTGGTTTTCCCCATGTGTAACGTGTATACGAGCCAGTTTCCCTTAGAAAGACCTCCACGAAGGCATCCTTCCCCTTAGGCAGACAGCCTTCATGTGCTTTGCCATAATTAAATACTACACTACACTACTACTACATTACCAACAGACCGACTGGATCGAAAGTACTATCCAGGATCGAAAGTTTACTGTCGAACATGTGTCCTCAGATTTTTTCAACAGTCTGCGAACTGATGTTTCATTATGGGAATTTTCAGGGTAAACAACTGCGCGAAGCTTTGTAACATTCTTTGTATAACACTTGCTGTTTTTGTAATGTCGTTTTCACAATCAAAACTCGCTGTTCCTTTGTGTAGCGCTCCATCTCGACTTAGCTATATAAGGGAGATGCAAAAATAAATGCCAGTGTTAACAGGTCAAATCAACCCGACATTTTTAAATCGAAACATTTAACTGTTGTTAAGTTGTAAAATATTTAAAATTTTCTAAAAATAAAGCCTTTTGGGGGCATATTAAATTCGGCGCTTTTGTTGGGACTCTATGTTTACGTTATGCATAAGGAAAACCATAAAGGCGTGAGAAAATGTTTTAAACCCATCTGTCAATTCCATATTAAGAGAAATTGAATGTTTATTATTAAAAATGCAGAAGTTGTCATCATTTGAAGATAACGATTATGAAGTTTAAATTCCATAGCAATTACTATAGCCATGGAATGCTAGGTTTGTCTTAGTCAACAATTAGCAATTTATCACATTGTCATATATAGTATAAACTAGTTGTATGAGAAAAGCATAGTAAAACGTTAATGAGATGGAAAAATATTCGTTGTGATCAATATTGCAAGTATTTGGCGATCGATGATCAGATTTAATTACAAAACGAAGTCCTCTCAAACTATTTGATTACGTTATTTAATTTATCAGGTTCCGTTAACTTCAGAGATCTCGACTTAATATTAATTAACCTGAGGTCTGTAAATAAAATTTCAACTTTATTAATATTTTCATTTTAATCCTTGTTAATTCAGTAAAGAAATATATCGAGTCTGCAGGAAGATAAAATGTTTTTGTTCAGTATAATAAATAATTTTATGCCATTAGGGAAATAAAACAATTTTCCAGCGTTTTATATATTCCACATTATACATTCACAATATAAAATCGTTAATGATATACATATAGCAATCGCGATGATTAAATGCAAACCGTTGGGGATTTTTGAGAACAAAGTGTATCAGTAAAGGATTTGCAATCGAAATTTTGTAAGATGGTAAGAAAAGAAAAGATTAGAAAAGGTAATAATCAACAAAAAATAAGAATGTAAGAAAGTTTTATTACAAAGCAAAGAAGGGCATCCTAGCCCATAATGTACAATGCGATGATTTGTGTATGAAATGGTGACTGCAGGCGCAGCGATCAGCCATTGGAACCGTAACGGAATGTCACACACACAAAATGTTGGCTTCATTCCACTCGGTGTCGGAATCATCCGGCCAAGATTTCGGTGACCCGGTGACGTCACAGGATTATTCCGGATCTTCGACGGAGAAGACCTGCAAATGATAAAAGGAAGGAAAATTGTGAATCACAGAAGTTTGGCAACGCCTGCCACCATCATAATGGGAGCACGAATGGCCAGTTCTCACTTAAAGCGATGGCCTGTGCTTTGCTTTTATCGTTTTTCTGAGTAATACGCCTTCAGTTCAATGGAATGCTACACACTTTGAACAGCAAATATCGCTGTCCAACCTTAAAATATTACTAAACTATTACTGTAGAGTTTCTAATATTAAATTGCAACCATTACTTAAAATATCTACTCCATTTTCAGTCTCGAAATACTGTTTATGATATAAATATTTCGATGTCGCAAATTCCTGTTTATTATATGTCACTACGATCTGAAAAACATTCTAATTACGAAATATTGCTATTTTTGAAGAAAAGTGACCACATAATTAATTAATTATACCTTATATTTTCATTATATCTGCAGCTCAAGATTAAAATCCTTATGCGTCTTATATATATTGTAAGGTATTTCTCCCACTTTCTTGGCGTGCCTTTGTGGTGTAGTGGTTCTGCACGCTGGGCCAACATTCCAGAGGTCCGTGGTTCGATTCCCGGCGAGGGCGGTTGCTAATTTTTCATCTCTCGGCTTTCCCAAAAATATACTAATGTCTCTACAGTGGCGCCCCAACTAAAAGGATGGATGTTTGATGATGATTCTCCTCATCCAGGATTTGGCGATTGAGTCCCCTAGAAACCCCAGTCGCCCTTTAAAAGGGAAAGTATGTAAGGTATTTCTCCCGCCTTCCTAGCGTGCCTTCGTGGAGTAGGAGTCAGCACACTGAGCCGGTATTTCAGAGGTCCGTGGTTCGATTCCCGGCGAAGACGTTGCTAATTTTTCATCCTGCCTGCTTCCAATTAATCCTAAGATCTCTACAATATATAGCTACGGGTTCTTTTAAATAATCACTTCAGCTGAGAAGGAAGAGATTGACCGTTAATTGGGAAAGAATACAACGAAGAGCCGATATTAACAGCTGTAAATAGCTCAAGGAGAACGCGATATCAAAAACCTGCTTAGCGCAAGAGAAATATCTTAAATTCCCGATATCAGTCACAAAGAAAACCTTCAAAAACGCATTTCAGCTAACGTTCTTTGAGCCCCAGTCTCTCAGATCTGAATAACAGCTAACTGCTCCTAGCTCTCGGAGCTGTATTCATATGGTGTTCAACGGGTTTCTGAAATTTCGGGAGAAACCAATCTTAGGGCTTCGAAAATCCTTTTCCCCGAAACTTTCGAAAGATCACCAAATCGGCGTTTGCTTTACAGCACCTATGTATTTTTGCGGAGACTTTACATTATAGTTAACACTTAAATTATGCGGGTTAAAATAGCGTTGTTTATCTTATCCGTGGTTACGTTTATCGAATATGTTAGAAAGTTTTCACATATTCAGAATAACTTTAAAAAATACTAGAAGAGAAATAAACTATCTAATGTTTAAGAAAAAATCAGATAGTAACTAATATATAGATACCAATATATTTTATTATGGTAAAATAAATACAAATATGTTGTAAAATGTCAACTTCGCACTCAAACACTTAATATTGGTCTATTGGCAGTCAGTGAAATGCAAACAAACATAAAGATAAAGCAAAAAATTAAATATAGCACATATCATGCTACATAAATATTTTCGCCCCCACCTTCCTTTAGCTAAAATTGAAGCAAGCTCAGATGTTATGGATATTTTCTTTGTCACCGAGTAGTCCCTTTTCGATTATACCCTCTTTTTCCAAGCGATCAATTCTTCATCTATCCGGCCCTTTAACGCAAATGGTACTTGCCTAGCTCTACAAAATTTTGGTGAAACATTTGGTTTCAATTCAAGACGAACCTCATAACTTTTTTATCTCTCCTAATTTTCGGTAAAAAATCTCCTTGTACTGTTCCAATAATTCATTTAAACTACTCTTTTGAGAGATAGAAATTGACTTTATTGAGGACCAATCTAAATTTATTTCTGAAAGCCATTCTCTACCAAATATTGTATCAAGGTTTTCTTTAACAAAGTAAAGATTTAAGTTTTTACTTTGATCTTTATATTCTACCTTAACTGTAGTAAATCCTAAAGGTATTAGTTTTTCTCCATTATATGTTTTAAATACCAGATTTGTATTTTTAATTTTCTTTTTCGAAATTTGCCGGAAATTTTTTAAACTCATTACCGATACTGCACCCTCTGTATCCAGTTTTCCTTCTATGTTCACTTGGACCATTATGGGCGGTTTTCTATTATTCACCTCACTGGTTTCTATTACTCACCTCACTGCTGTTTATAAAAACTGTGTTTTCATTTCCTACATTTAACTGCTTTTGTTTCGCTTTCGTTTTATCAGCAATTTTAGCGTTGTACCATGCTTTATCAATGTGCCCGATTTTCTTACAAAATCTGCAGATGCTTGTCTTAAATTTACAAAAATTTCTATCATGGTCAGTTCTATCATGGTTTCTCTTATGTGGTATATCGAGAAGGTTCCCAGACAAAAGCCCACTGGACGAAAGCGCACACGACAAAAGCCCACAGAAAAAAGCCCACTATGATAATTGCCCACGCGACAAATACCCACAGCGATGAAAGCGCACGTTGATAAAAGCCCATATAGATATAAGCCCACGATGATAAAAGCCCACGCTGATAAAAGCCCACGCTGATAAAAGCCCATACTGATAAAAGCCCATACTGATTAAAAGCGCACATAATTGAAAGGGACATATAGTTTTTTATTACTATACCATGTATTTATAATTTTACTTATAATAAATGGAGCTATTCAGATCTGAATTTTAATGTCTCAAATATATATATCTGTTTGTATATTTTATCACTACTTTATTTGTTTAATTTATTATGTTGAAAGTAAACTTTCTACTCTTAATTAAGTCTTATTTTAAGGATTATTAAGGACTCATTTTGCACCGACCACTGCTAATGACATGCCATTTAATTGCATTTAATAATTACTATTTACTGAGTTTATCTCATGACTTCGATCTCGCCTTCGGGTGTGGTGTATTTTTCAATTCTTATTTTATTATGATTACTAAGGGCCTTTGGTAAAATGTTTAACTACTGGTTAGAACTCCTAGAAGTTGATGACAGAAGAAAAGATACAATCCTAGATCCTGGTTAAGTGATTAGCTATACCGTTTCGATGATAAATCTGAAATTGCTTTTTATTATTTATTTACTTATTTAACTTATATGTTATAATTACGGTATGTGTATATGAAAATGAAAAATATCATTGTGGAGTTTATCACATGCTATTTTTAAGGTAATATGGCTGAGATTAAATATAATTATGTTTCATTATTAAAACTACAGTCAAAAGTCGTTAATTCGGACACCCATAATCCGGAATGATCTATAATCCGGACCTCAAAGCTACAAACTTTCTGCGCATGAGTCGCGTTCACGCATGCGCACAGGCGTTTAAGAGTGCGCGTAAGACCTTTACGGCTGCGAATATGTTTGTGCGCATGTGCGTTTAATGTGTAACAGAGGTATAAGCTAAGCTAAAATTATGTAATTCAGTTAATGTTGCAGATTGCGTTGTTCCTTAATCTTCGAATTGGATCTGGCTTATTATTTTTTGCAGACTGTTAGAGCAATTTCATAAAAGTAAGCTTGAACTTTCGATTATGTCAAATAGAATTTCCGATATATATTTGCTAATATGTAAAGGTATCTACAAAGCGAATGTATGTTTCGAAATCCGAAATCTGTTTATCAATTTCACGCAGTTCGGCGGGGGGAATGCCTCGGCGCACAATGATTTGGAAGTTGATCTCTCATCACTATCCTTATCTTCAAGGCAGATGTTTTTATTTTATTTGGCTTATAATTCCTTAACTAAATGTAGTATTTCATCTTGATGCACTCCGTCTTTGATATGATTTAAAATCAAGTTCCTCGTCATTATAATTCGCTTCCGATAGTCAAGAAAGTGAACAGAGGTTATTGAAAACGAAAACATTTCGATTGACAAATTAGTCGGTATTCTCGACACAGCAATTATAGGACTTGAACAGCGGAACTTTGTAACTAACAAGAAATTGTCTGTTTATAGAATTAAAGAAAGAAAGTATTATCACATGAACGAAGCAACTTACACTGAAAGAAATGTTTAAAAAGTAAAAATAAATATTAAGCTTTTTTTTTGTAAATTTTGATACCCTTTAGATCATAATTGTTCTTTATTTCATAAATTACGGTTTCATATTTTTAATTTTGTAATTTCTGCATGCCATCTTACCAGATTTAAATAGATGATCTATAATCCGGAAAAACCCCTAAAGCGGAATCGCCGAAGTCCCGACCGAGTCCGGATTACACGACTTTTGACAGTATTAACTTTAAATTAAAAACACTGAGTTTATTTTATTTCTTCTTAGTTTTTCCTTAGTTCCTTTTAAGTGTAGGAATATTAAAATAGTTAAGCACAATGAAACCTTGGCTAAGAGATATTTTATTCTTTACTTTAGACTGAGCTTATTATCAAAGTTTAAATATATTTCTCATTGAAAGCTTTTACTGATACGCCAAATTATAATTGTTACTTTGAATGTAACAATTATAATTTGGCGATATTTTAGAGATATTTTCTTTTAGATTTCTGAATAAATTAAAACTGTCAGCTGACACCCTGGCAGAAAATGAATTCCAAATGTAACCTCTTAATCTTTCAACTACAGCAATTTGAAATAGTATTTTTAATTTAATTTATTTATTTATTTATTTTTTGGAGGGATGGAACAACTCTTAGAAGTCAAAATCTACAAATTTAAGTAAAATCACCTCAAAATATAGTAATAAATATGAAGCATTTTATTAGAGATTGTGAAGATTACAAAGACCTATGCATATAATAACATCTATAATTTTGTAATACGAAATATATATTTATAGAGTCATCAGATTCAAAGTTCATCGTTTTTAGATTTACGTATACATATTATATAAATTCATTATTCATT